CTAGGGGACAGTGCTCATCTCTGTTTCTTAGCCAAGGCACCCATCGTAGTCCGAAGACACTTCTGTGGTCATGTGGCCAGGTGCATGGAACATTGTTACCGTCCCACCAAAGTGGTACCTATTTATCTACTTGCATTTGCATGCTTTCGAACTGCTGGGCAGGAGCTGAGCAGGAGCCAAAGCAAAGGATGGGAGCTCACCCCATTGTGCGATGCTTGAGTCTCAAGCCCGAGCTGTCAGCTTTCCAACTGACAAGTTCTTTAACTGCTGAATCATCACATCCCCCCCGCAAATATACACATATACATGCCTATAAATATACATATATACCTAGGCATAGACATAAATGTACGTATAATCAAAATGATTCTTGCAATGTTTATATGAAAAGGGCCTTTCATTTTTGGTAGGCAGATGCTAAACCTATGCCTCTTTGGAATTAAATTTTGGGCAAGATAAGTACCATTGCTAATGAGAGAAGTGACTGCTCCCCTCCCCCCAGGGTCAGGCTTACTCCATTTAGATACAAGACCGAATCTCAAGCTTAAAAATATGGAACTTATTATCTTTTTAATTTTAGCAGCTAAAATAATAATTGCCCAACATTGAAAAATTCTAGATAATATAATAATTGAGATGTGGATTAAGAAGGCCTTTTCAATTGTCACATTAGAGACAAAATTAGAAAGTTAAAATAATGAAACATCAGAGGCAGGAATCAAAATTATATCAAAATTTGGGTGGATTTTATAGTTGTCTCTACAGCAACAGACTTTAAAGGGGTAGTATTTCACACATATGGTAAATTTGTACTTGTACAGTACCTGCTACTTACTTTTCAGCATTTTCCTCAGTATTTTTCTATATTTTAGAAACATACAGAATAACGGAAGGGACCCTGTAGGTCATCCAGTCCAACCCCCTGTTTCGGAGGCTTCTGAAGCCTCTGGAGGGCGAAAAATGACCCTACGGAAATAGGAATAGCAGTTAGACTTATATACCGCTTCATAGGGCTTTCAGCCCTCTCTAAGNTCTATCTCTATTTCTCTCTCTCTATCCTTCTACCTACCTACCTATACACACTGTCTCTCTCCCTACTTACCTACTGTATTTCTCTCTGTGTGTATTTCTCTCACTTTCTATCTCTTTATCTACCCATCTAACTACTCTCTCTCTCCCTATCTACTGTATTTCTCTCTCTCTATTTCTCTCTCTCATCCCTCTACCTACCAACCCACCTACTCTCACTGTCTCTCTCTCTACCCATCTACTCTATTTATCTCTCTCTTTGTTTCTCTCTCTTTCTATCCCTTTATCTACCTACCTACCTACTCTCTGTATTTCTCTCTCTCGTTCTATTTTTTTTCTCTCTCTCCCTTTATCTACCTACCTACCCTCTCTCTCCCTATCTACCTACTGTATTTCTCTCTCTTTCTCTCCCTGTCTATCCCTCTATTTACCTACCTACTTTTTTTAAAAAAAATGGCCTCTTCAAAGCCTTGGTGCGTCTTATACTCTGGTGCATCTTATAGTATGAAAAATACAGTATATATTTTAAAAGAGGGTGGAGGGTGGGATAGAGTACTATTGGATATCTAGATTATGACTGGGGCGTGGAGTTTCAACATTTCTATGGAATGGTCTGCTCTCTTTTCTGTCTGATTTTTATTTTACTCCCTTTTTGTATAAAGCGGTCTATCCCTCAGACACTGTCTTCAAAGGCAGAACCATTTTCTGCAATGCAAGACACGTGGCAACGTTATGTGAAAGCCACATAATCATAGGGCTATTGGCCATGACTCAGTGCTCTCCACCCATCCAATACCAGCCAGAAACTGCACTATGGTTAAGTTGGATACCTTCATTTCTGATCCTTACCCTGCCCATTTACTATGTGTGGGACATGGTAAGGAGAGGAATTGGTAGATTCCAAGATGATTAGAGGACTGGAGGCTAAAACATACGATGAACAGTTGCAAGAACTGGGCATGGCTAGTCTAGTGAAGAGAAGGACCAGGGGGGGCATGATAGCAGTCTTCTAATATTTGAGGGGCTGCCACAGAGAGGAGGGGGTCACGATATTTCCCATGAAGGCCAGACAAGGAATAATGGATGGAAACTGACCAAGGAGAAATTCAGCCTAGAAGTAAGGAGAAATTCTCTGACAGTAAGAGCAATCACCCAATGGAACAGCTCTCCTTCAGATGTTTTGGGAGTTTCATCACTGGAGGCTTTAAAAATGAGATTGGACTGCCGTTTGTCAGAAATGGTGTACGGTCTCCTGTTTGGGTGCAGGGTTGGACTAGATGACCTACAAGGTCCCTTCCAACTGTTAATCTGTCTGATTGCCCTAGTTATGTTTCCTTGCATCCCATCAAACATGAAATGGCAGTTTCTGCTATTTCAGAGTAAACTGCTAAAGAGAGTAAAGGTAGCCACTCCCTAGAATCTACATTATATTGCCAAAAGTATTTGCTCACCCCATCCAAATAATCAGAATCAGGTGTTCCAATCACTTCCATGGCCACAGGTGTATAAAATCAAGTACCTAGGCATGCAGACTGTTCTTACAAACATTGGTGAAAGGACCGGTCGCTCTCAGGAGCTCAGTGAATCCCAGTGTGGAACTGTGATAGGGTGCCACTTGTGCAACAAATCCAGTCGTGACATTTCCTCGCTCCTAAATATTCCACAGTCAACTGTCCACTGTATTATAAGAACGTGGAAGTTTTTGGGAACGACAACAATGAAGTGGTAGGCCACGTAAACTCATCCAACATCAGTGTGTGACCTCACAAA